GAGATAGTTCCAAATAATTTCATAATTATCTATCTGTGGTGTGCTTCTAATAGTATAACCAAATCAATATTTTTTTGATGTAACTATAAAACTAAACTGAAAAGTTGTTAATTAAAAATTAAACTTTCATCTGGTTGTATATATTAAGATTATACCAGCAAGAACAAGTCTTCGGTAACTCTGAGTTGTGTAAAATATTAGGTTTATAGTGAGGAAGAATATCCTTTTGGGGGGACAGGGAATCATATAATTAATTTGAGTCTTTCTGAGTAATGCTTTAAATCATGATCAAAATGATTGAAATCAAATTGATCAATCCAATCCACCATGCTGAAGAGTGGAACCAAAATTATGTGTTCAGTCCAGATCACAGAATGCATAATGCTGAGTTTCTTGCCTGACTATTAGAGCAGTCTTCTTGTTCTCAACCTCAGTCAAAGCTGATTTTCTCCTTTTGGCTGCCAACCGGCAACCTGCCTATTGTGGTCACCAAAGGGGAGAAGCTCTGGGAAGGGACATCCTAACTTCTTGTCTTTTCCTATTTGCAGCTGTGTGTGCTACTGCAGTTTTTGCTTTGATTCTCTGATGGCAAATGTTTGCTCTTCAGTTATTACCTGAAGGTAAGAAAGCTACATTAGCATGTTTTAATGAAGAGTATTAAGAGTATTGAGAATGAAATGTGTTTATTTGAGTTTAAATTCATTGGCTGGAAAGGTGTGTTTAAACTCATTGGCTGAAAAGGTACTCAGGTTTTAAGATCTTTGGAAGAGGGAATTTTCTCACTCTCAACACTGTCACCCAACACTCAATACAATGTCACTCAAGCATATTTGAAGAGAAGATGGGAGAGAGCCTTCTTGGTGGCTACTGCAACATTGGATTTTCTCTCTCACAGGAAGCTTGGTTGGTCTCTCTTTTCTGTCTTTCTATGGGCAGCAATGACTTTTTAAAAATGTAATCAGGCCCCAGATTGTTAATTGATTTTGACATGAGTTTTTTAATGTTGTGCTATAACATTTTCTCTCTTTTTACTATGTTTTCAATGTGTTTTAAACTTCATGTTTTGGATATGATATATTTAACTTATAGCAACTCTAACATTTTCTTGGTGAGATTTTGTCATTGGTTTCCTCTAAAGCTAGAAGAGTGTGACTTGTGAGGATTTGAACCCTGGGCCCCTGGAGTCCTAGTCCATCACTCAGACTGACTCTCTACCAGCTGTATTTTATTTTAATTTATATGATGAGCTTGCCTTGAGTCCTGTACTGGGAGAAAGGTGGGCTACTAATGAATAAATAAATTGAATTGAATTGAATATTACATACTGGGAGTATATTAAATATTTAATAGTGGGATTATATTAGAGCAAAACATATGGCTTCTGAGGTTTCTAAACATGTCTACAAGTATTTTTCAACTTCACTAATTTTGAATACCTGAATATTAACAGAAAGGGGAAAAAACCCAAATGAGATGCAATCTAGCTTAACTTGAAAAATAGTTATCTGTGAACAAGAGAAAGTAACATAACTTAATGGGATTCATTGCCAACAGCTGCTGATGTTGGCTACTAGTTTTAGACCTACATGATACATCTGAGATTTTATGGATGTTTCTCAAGGCTGTTCATTGCCTATGCATTGCCTGCATAGACCATAAGAGAAATCCCAAAGTTCAAATTTGCCTTTATAGTAAAGGTTCAGAGAGCCAGCATGGTGCAATGACTTCACTACTCTAGGGTTGGCTTTTGAGATAGTTTGACAGCTGCTTCTGATTCAGATTGTGTGTACTGGCATTCAAGTGGGAGCTAGACAAGCAGGATATATTACCCTTATCCTCCACCAATTGCACTGTTGACCAGTTAATGTTCAGACTCAGTTTAAAGCTTTTGAGGTATTTAAATGGCCTTAAAATGAGGTTATCTGAATGACTCCTTAAGCATTCCTGAACCTGCTCTGAACAGCTTCAGAGGTCCTGCTTTTTGGTCCATCACTAGTGTAATGAAGGGCTTGAACTTGGGGAATTACTAAAGTCCAAGTCTTCAGTGGGATGTTTTATCCTATGTTTACAGAGGTGGCTAGGGGATAGACTGATAGAAAAAAAGCTTTCCAATGAACTGTCATTTATTTGGGGATTCAAACATACAAAGACGCTCTAACATAACACCCATACATACAAGAACTCAGGAGTAAAGTAGTTAGCTTGGAGAGGAAACACAAGGCTTTCTAATGGTGATAATTACCCGAAGGAGGCTGCTCGAATGATGAATGAAGATGGATAGACTCAACCGTTATGAAAAGGGAAAGGACAATGGAAAGAGCTGGGATTCTAGTCAGAGTTCACAGTGGCGCAGTGTCACCATGAAATCTAGCCAGGCCCCAATGTGCCTGAGATTGTAGGGATCATTTATATCCTTAAACCTAGCCTGAGGGGAAGAGTTGCTATTGTATATCAAAGGATTCTGATTGCTACTCTTTGAAGCTGACTATTTCCAAGGAGAGGAGATGGAATGTTAATGTTATCTCATCTTCAGCAGGACACATCCTGGCTGGCACTCATAAATCCTCTAGGTATGAATGTCCTGCTTAGCTCCTAGGCTTGGCCCTTTTGATCTACAAATTGATATAAGTGCAGATGTGACCTTTCAGGTGCCTACGTGATGTGCTTGCCTTGAGTCCATGGCAATGGGCTCTTTCAGTCCAGGGTCATGACAGGGACCCCAAAGTGGTCTTTATATTAGATCAACCATTGTAACACTAGCAAAGGTACTAGTTTAGTACTGCATTGGCAGGTGCTGATGTGACGGCATGGCAAGTATGGGCTCTGAGGAGGTCTGAGGAGGTCTGCAGGCTTTGAAAACCTTTCATTGCCTGGCTTTTAAGATTGCCTTTGACTGTCTTTAGGTACAATCTGTGGATTTTTGTGTTGAGATGTTTTTATTTAGTTTTTGAGTAGTTTCTCCAAATCTGCTCTCCAGATGTTTGGAAATTACTTGGGTCTTGTGTCAGGAAAAAGGCAGGATATGAAATAAATAAATAATAAACTCTGCAACATCTGGAGGGAAGGAGTATGACAGACATAAGGTTTAGAGAGGCTATTTTTGAGAATGGTGTCTTTTAAGCAATTCTTCCTGAGATTTTTTTCTTTCACTGAAATGACTTGCTGAGTGAAACAGCCCCAATATGGTGTTATATTAAACAAGCTTTATTTAGCTTGAGAAGCATCTTTGTAGTTGATCTGAGAGACAAATGAGCACATTCTTGTGCTAGATCACTCTCTGAGATATGAGATCATTGTCATGAACTAGGTGTTGTTGTTGTTGTGTGTCTTCAAGTCATTTCTGACTTAAGGTGACCCTGAAGTTGACCTGAAGTTTTGCCTTTGCCTTCCCATGAGCCTGAATGAATATGACATGCCTAAGATCACCCAGTGGGTTTCCATGGCTGAGCAAGGACTTGAACCTGATCTCCAGAGTTGTAGCCCACTGCTCAAAGCATTACACCACACTGGCTCTCCATGATCTAGATACCCACTGTTACTTGGTATTGAGCAGGGATAGGCAACCTTTCCCCTTTAAGGGCTGAGGGACTTCAGCTCCCAGAAGCCTCAGCCATGTTGGCCAATAGTCCCATGTTGGCCAACCTGGGATTCTGGGAGCTGAAGTCCCTCAGCCCTTAAAGGGGAAAGGTTGGCTACCCCTGCTATTGACAAATGTGTTGCCTCTGAACATGGATGCTCTGTTTTAAAATATCACCACGGTGTCTTGATTGTTAACTTCTCAGGACCTATGGACTGGCCAGTTTTTTTTGCCATGGGAATTTATTGGGCCAGATGGATTGCAGGGGTGAGGAACTAGTCCAGCAGTAGGAATTTTTAGATTCTTAAAAATTTATGTACAAGTATAATCTGCTGCTAGAGGTCTCTAGGGCAAATCTGTCTGTTGCATAGTTACAACAGGACAAGGAGGCTTGAGGTCTGTAAGTGTTAAGAACAGGCCGTTGCAAGGTGGGAGTGCACTGTGGGCAAAAGATAGATAAAGATCTACCAGAAGCACTGGGGTGGTTTGTTGTACTAAATCAGCAAGGATGTTTGACACCCTGATTGTTGATCAAAAGCACAATAAAAATAACTCTTTGCCTTAAATAATGTAGATAAAATGGAAAGAAAACATGGTAACTCATTTTTAGGTGTTGTAGTTCTTTAAATCTAAATCCATATGCTCTTTTTCAATAGACTAGTTAAGTAGGTTACAGGGTTGTGGTAAAGTAGAAAGCAAAGTAGGTTTGGCTGTAAGCCTGAAGTATACCTCCCCTTGTTCTTGGATGTTTGGCAAGACCCTGATAGCTTTTCTCAAAGTGATTTTCCAGTAAAACAGAGGTTGAAAAACTTTTTAAAAAAATCCCTCAGTCTGTATTACCACTGACCATGGTGCTGAGGTGTGTGTGTGTTGTATCTGAAAGATGTAATCCAAAACTCTTTTGAACTCTGTATGAAACATATGAAATGTCCCACATCATGGAAACAATCAAAAGATTGGTAAAAACAATATAAAATATATTCAGTTATTACAAGTTATCCTTGGATAACTACTTTATATTAAATCTTTCCATTATTGTTATGTGCCACCAAGTAATTTCCAACTTATGGCAACCATAAGGCAAACTTAATAGGGTTTTCTTGGCAAGATTTGTTCAGAGAGGATTTACCTTTGCTTTCTTCTGAGACTTGAGTAGATTACTGCACCATACTCTTATAGTGCTGCTATTTCACTTTTACCACTCTGGCTGCTCCTGTTGCATTCTGAGTTTTGTACTTCAGTTTGGCCTAAGAGCTCTCTGGCTGTGAATGCTAAATGCCCCTCTCTCAACTGCAAATCCCAAAGTGCAACAGGAGGCAGCCAGAGCAGTAATAGTGGAATAGCAGTACTATAAGAGTGTAGTGCGGTAATCTCCGGAGACTGAGAGAGTATGATCTGCACAAGGTCACCCTGTGGATTTCCATGCCTGAGCAGAGATTTGAACTCTATTCTCCAGAGTTGTAGTTCAACACTTAAACCACTATGCCATGCTGGCTCTCAAATATTTCTATAATTATTAGTATATGTAAAATAGCTTATTGATTTAGTTATTCAAATAATGCAAATATTAATGATCATAACATACTTGTTTTGTTTCATATTGATAACTAATAGTATTCAAAGTTCTGTGTGTATACATGGATAACAATACACAATTTATATTAATTATCTATTGAGATTATATTGTATATGCTGAAGAAATGGCATGGAAGCCATAGTTCCTATGCTATAGATCCCCCCCCCTTTCCCCCCTGCTTTTGACCTTTTAAAGAGTCAATTGACATTTTCTTGCCTGACAGCATGGAGCCTGGTTAGAAAGAATCTACTGTACATGAATACAGTTGCTGCATCTGAATAGATAGTACTTAACAAACCAATTGAATCCTTTTAAGACTAAGGCTTATCTTGTGCTTTCTGCAAACTGAGCATAACAAATTCAGTGTCCTCTTCTTCACAGTGTTCTACAGCAAGGGTGGGAATCATGTGCTTCTCCACATGTTGTTGAACTACAAGTCCCATCTGATCTAGGCAACGCAGCCAACAATAAAGAATGGCGAAAGATACTAGCCAACATAATTTAGAACATTGTATGAATTTCACTCCTATCCTAGAGGGAACTGTTTTTTTTAAACTTAAGGCCTAAGCAGACTGGCAGAAATAGTGCACATTAAATTGAGGCACTGCCCTGGCTCAGTGCTAGGGAGTCATGGGAATTGTATTTTTTTCTGAGACATTGAGCCTTCTCTGTCAGAGAGCTCTGGTGACACAATAAATTACAGTTCCCATGATTCCCTAGCACTGAGCCAGGGCAGTGCCTCAATTTAATGTGCACTATTTCTGCCAGTCTGCTTAGGCCCTTAATCAAGTTAGTGCAAAGAATATTTAGTTTCTTATGTGGTACTTAAGGTTATCTCCAGAATGGGATTTTATATTCAATTTCTAACTCTTTGAATGATTAAACTACAATTGTAGTCCAATCCAGCTGTCTATATTAAGCAAGAGAGCATGAAACTGGAAACATGCTATGCATTTGGTTTGCTTTGAAAGCAGTTGACAAGATATGCATTATAGTAAGAACATGAGTAAGAACACAGTATATATTTGGCTTGCTTTGAAAGCAGTTGGTAAGATATGTATTATTGTATACTTAGAACATGAGTATAAGTATTCATATAAAAATGGAACAACTTGTTAAAGGCTGCGTTTTTGGATTATGGCTCCTAGAATATCCCAGCCAACATGGTCAGTAGTCCAGAAGAATAACTGTCCAAAATTTCTAGAAATAAATGGGAAATGTAACAGTGCATTTAAAAAAAAAACTATTAGTGAATTATTTAAAGCTGGTTATGTCTGCTGGTAAAGCCAGTGAGAAAGTACATGTGCACATTCACACACATGCATGTACACACACACAAATATATGATGTTTTGAAAATAAACATTGATTTGGAAACAGGACCTTTTCAGCTAAAGATTTCCTTGATTCGAAAGCAACAGATATCTAGGCTGGTTGTTTCTCTGTGGTGTGATTGAAATAGGTGGAAAGGAGCTGTCTGCTATTTTTTTAAGAAAATCACAGAGATCATTAATCTTTAGATGGATTCATCTTCCTAAAGCCCTGTTCCATACTGCCTAAAGCCCTAAAACCTTTCAGCTACATCTTTTTTTGGGGTGGGACAGTGGTTAGAGATATGTAGAATGACAATCCAAGAAAAATATTGTACACCAAGCACTATAATATATTGTAAACCTTTCTTGAAGCAAGTAAAAATTACCTGCAGACACTAAAGTCTAAATCAGGGACCGGCAACCTACAGCCCGGGGGCCACTTAAGGCCCCGGTCCCCGGACTTACCAGCCCAGGCTGAAGGTTGCCGCTGCTGCGCACTGCTGTTGCAGCACGTTTTTGC